GCTGCAGCTCCTCCCTCCGCCGGTACCGCTCCCGTTCCCGCCCCCAGCCCCATTCCCGGTGTATCCCCGGTGTATTCCCGGTGTATTCCCGGTCCCTCACGCCGCTGCAGCTCCTCCCTCCGCCGGTACCGCCGGTACCGCTCCGCGAACGCCGCGTTCACGCGAAGCTCCGGCGCCGCCATCGCCGCCCACGTGACCGACGCCACTTCCGCCCCCTTAGTCACGTGACAAGGGACGTCCCGCCCCCTGCCCGGCAGGCAGGCCCCGCCCCTTCCCGCTCTTAAAGGGGCAACGCTCCCACCCAAAGGCGCGGGTGGGTCCCACCACATCCCCGCGCACCCCCAAACCCCCCGATTCCCGCCCCCATCGCACCCCGAGACCCCCCTACCGCTGTTCCCGCTCCCCCCAGACACACTGAGCGCTCCCCGACCCCCAAAGAGAGCAGCGGGGCCGGTGGTCTCAGCTCCATCTTTATTGGGGCAGAGGAGGAGGAGGAGGAGGAGGGTGGGCAAAGGGTGGGGGATCGGGAAGGGGGGGGTCCCTGGGGGTCCCAGGGGGTCTCTGGGGGTCCCCCCTTAGCTGGTGCGGAGCTGGTAATCTGCAAGAGACGGAGAGAGGAGGTGAGGAGGGGGCTCCCGGGCTGGGGGTCCCGGGGGAATTCCGGGCTCCCGGGCTGGGGGGGGGTCCCAGGGGTCTCCCCGACTCACCCCCGCTCTGGGTGATGTACCGCACCCAGGGCAGCGCCTGGTACCCGCTCTTCTCGATGATCTTCATGTACCGCACCTGGGGGGGGGGCAGGTGGGGAATGACCCCCCCACACCCCTCGGGCACCCCGACCCCCGACCCCCCCTCCCCGGGCACCCAAAGAGCCCCCCCGAGCACCCTGAACCCCCCCTCCCCCCAGGTACCCGGACACCCACCCCGGGCACCCGAAGAGCCCCCCCGGGCCCCCCTTGCCCCCCCCGGCGGTACCTGGATGCCCGAGACGGTGAAATAGGGGATCTCGAAGCGGACGCTGATGGGCGGCCGCCCCTCCTCCTCCTCCTTCTCCACGCTGGGCAGCCCGAAGTGGGCGCGCATCAGGTGCTCCTTCCCCCCCTGCGGACCCCACAGCGGGCACAGCCCAG